GAATAGGACCCTAATTGAGATTGGTAGAACTATGCTCAATGATTATGGAGTTGCTAAGAAGTTCTGGGCAGAAGCCATTAACACAGCCTGTTATGTAATCAATAGAGCTTTAATTCGTTCAAAATTGAACAAAACCCCTTATGAACTTTGGAAGAACAGAAAACCAAATCTGGGATACTTTCACCCTTTTGGGTGCAAGTGCTTTATCCTAAATACCAAAGATAACTTGGGAAAGTTTGACTCTAAGTCTGATGAATCTATCTTCCTTGGGTATTCATCAAACAATAGGGCATTCAGAGTATACAATAAAAGGACCCTCAAGGTAGAGGAGTCCATTAATGTTATTTTTGATGAGTCTGTGAGTAAGATTGCAGATGTTATAGAGGATGATGATGACTTTGGACATGGAGGGAAACATTTCAAAGAGACTTATCCTGTAGAGAAAGAATCAGCATCAACTGAGACAAACAGAAAGGAGGATGGATTGGAGGCTCCACCTCACATTCAAAGAAGACATCCTCCCTCTCTAATCATAGGTGACCCAAATCAAGGTATGGTCACTCGTTCCAAAGTCTACTCTGAACATACTGCATTTATCTCTAAAATTCTTCCAAAAAACATTCATGAAGCTCTAGAAGATGAATTTTGGACAACAGCTATGCAGGATGAAATGATCAATTTGAAAGAACTAGAGTCCGGGACCTAGTTCCCAAACCTGAAAACAGAACCATAATTGGAACAAAGTGGGTATATAAGAATAAAACTGATGAAATCGACATAATAATAAAAAACAAAGCGTCTTGTAGCTCAGCGATATAATCAAGAAGAAGGGATAGACTTCGATGAAACTTTTGCACCAGTTGCTAGATTAGAAGCCATAAGACTTCTTTGTGCTTATGCTGCAGCTAAAGATTTTAAGATATATCAAAAGGACATAAAAAGTGCTTTCTTAAATGGTGATCTAAAGAAAGAGGTTTATGTATCTCAACCACCTGGCTTGAAAAGCATGAACATCCAGACTATGTTTACAAACTTAACAAGGCTCTTTATGGGCTTAAACAGGCTCCCAGAGCCTGGTATGACAAGTTGAGTCAGTTTCTGCTAGACGATGGATTTCATAGGGGAAGAGTCGACAAAACCTTGTTTATCAAAAACTCAAATGGTCATACTCTACTAGTTCAAGTTTATGTCGATGACATAATCTTTGGTTCCTCCTGTTCCAAGCTATGTCAGGATTTTGAAAATTGCATGAAAGGGGCTTTCGAAATGAGCTTAATGGGAGAACTCAATTTCTTTCTTGGTCTACAAGTCAAACAAACTGAATCAAGAACATTTATAAACCAAAGTAAATATCTCAATAACATGCTGAAACGGCTTAACCTTGGAAACCTCAAGTCTGCTCCTACACATATGGGATCAACAACTAAACTCTCAAAGGATGAATCAGGTAAAAGCATAGATCAAAAGCTGTATAGAGGAATGATAGGGTCTTTGCTTTACTTAACAGCAAGTCGACCAGACATAATGTACAGTGTGTGTGTGTGTGTGTGTGTCTGTGCTCGTTTTCAAAGTCTGCCTAAAGAAAGTCACTTATGTGCAGTCAAACGAATTTTTCGTTACTTAGCTGGGACTCCAGACTTAGGCTTATGATACTCTAGACACTCGAGTTTAGATCTGATTAGCTACTCAGATTCAGACTATGCTGGTTCACCAAAAAACAGAATTCAGTGGCACTATCCACTGCTGAAGCGGAGTACGTTGCAGCTGGATTCTGCTGCACTCAAGTACTCTGGCTGAAATATCAGTTGATTGACTTTGGGGTCTCAATAGGGTCTCTTCCAATTCTATGTGATAACACTAGCACTATTAATATGTCAAAAAATCCAGTTCAACACTCTCGAACAAAACATATTGAAGTTAGGTATCATTTTATTCAAGATCTGGTTCAAGATGAAAAGATTCATCTCGATTTTATAGGAACTGACCGCCAGTGGGCTGATATCTTTACTAAACCACTATCTACTGATCAATTCCTTCTCATTAGGCGAGAATTAGGATTATTATCAATCCAGGATCTGCCTAATTTTAGTGAATCAGTCCCTGCTTCTCTTAATTGATACTTCCTTCCTTTTATCTGTACATCACAACGATTCTTTATGTCATAAATACTTACCTTATCATTTCTCTTTTGACCTATAAATCTAGGGTTCATCACCTTCTCCTCTCACTCACCCTCAAAACATGGCTCAACTCCTCCCAAAATTTCTCAATCATGGTGCTTAACAAAGCTCAGCTTCACCCTGCTGTTACCTTTTCCATCAAGGTATTCAGGAAGGACAAGGAGTTCTCTAGATATGTACGACGTTTACGAGATCGTGCTATCTATCCCTCCTTCACCATTCTGCCTTCTTCCTTCTCGAAATATGATATGGATATCTCTGCCTTAGTTCGGAATCTTGGCTAGGAATCCCTGTTTGAGGATCAGCGATTCACATACTGTCCAGAAGCTGTGAGATTGTTTTATGTGAATCTCAAATGAGGATCTGACCCTGATCTTTACTCCTTCAAAACGACTGTTGACAACTTTGAGATCACAACCACTACAGATCTGCTGGCCAGTGAACTAGGGTTGCCACATGATGGACTCAGGGTAGGTGATGATGGATAGTTTCGTGACTATGATTTCGATTAATGTCACGTTCTGGATGATCTTGCTCATGACATTGGTATTTATTTCCCAAATCTGCACTCTGCTAGACGCCTACCTCATGATTTGCGGGTTCTGCACTTCTTCATCACTAGGATTCTTCTTCCTAGATCCCTCTCGAGTGCAACTTTGCTTCACACCTCCGATCTCTGGACCCTTCATCATGCCAGGTCCGGACAGGGTATCAGTTATGCCCCACTAGTCTTCTGTCACCTTGTCCAGTATGGGGATGACAACAATGATGGGTGGTTGCCTCTGGCACCTCTTATCACTCAGCTGCTACGCAAACTGGGCATCGATCTTCGCGATAAGGTCACTCTCTGCAATGTTCATGATGATCTGAAGGCTCAACATGTCCTTTCTCACTTGGATGTCGGTGTTGGTCCCCGCAAGCCTGTCATTGGCTCAGGGGGAGAAGCTGCTACTTTAATCAAAGCGTTGGTGTCTGCTGCAGAAGTCGTAATAGATCGAGAGCTTACTGGCTATTCAAATGAGTTGAAAGGGAAACGCAAGATACCCTTGTCTTCTCTAGCTTCCCTATCCACCAGGCTGAAATTACTCAAGGATGGAGGTTGTGCCAGCACTTCCAGAATCAGAGAAGAGGATGAAGTTGTTGAAGAGCCTAAAGACAATGCTGACATTTCTGATTACGACTCCCCTCCTCACTATCCTTTCTAGAAGTATTCTGAGTCTACTTAGGATGTTGTCTAGAATCTAGGTTGATGTTACCTAGAGCAAAAAGCAGCTCTAGCTGCCCCCTTTATTGTCTTTAAATTTTCTTAATGAATAAAGTGGCATCTTGAATGGGAATTAAATCATGTTTATAGGACAGGCTGCACCAATCTGTTTGCTGAGTGTGTGCAGGTAGAAAGCAGCAGTAACAGAGCCATTGACAAGCTTAGGGGGAGCATGTTGAAGGAAGCTCATAAATGGCTCTGCTCAAGCAATTAACTAGCTCTGATTAAGCAATATAATGGACCGGAAAGATTGATTTGGAAACTTTCTCAATACCTCTCGTCGAGGAATCAAATCAATCTACCTTACCTTCTCTGCTCACAAGCACAAAATGGAAATTCCACCCAAGAGACGTTGGGAAGCAAGAGTATAAGAAGATACAGAGTTGAAGTTGATCAACACCTTTTTCAGAATTCAAAAAGCAGTAGAGCAAGATTGGCTAGAGTCTTTTTGTGAGAAAGAGAGCATATCGGTGTGATTGCTTTAGATAGCTAGGAGGGTTGAACTTTCTGTGGTGATAGAAAGTACAGCCTAGCTAGGATTGGCTCCAGTACCAGCTTCAGGCTGAGAGTTCTTGTCTCATATCTGTAACTAAGAACTTCAAAGAAGAAGACTATTAGCTAGTGATAAGTTGAAGATCTGAAGAAGAGATCCTTCAACCGTGGATTAGTCAGCGTAGGGATCCTTATTCGCCCTGCGCTGGATACCACGTAAAAACCGACTGTGTTCATTTGACTTTTGCTTTTGTTTTTCGTTTCTAACTTTGTTTTGCAGAGTCAATTGATAAGCTCATAACAGGGGAGTTTTCGTCAGAAACAGAGTCGAGGAAGAAGAAGAAGTGAAATTGCATTGGGTTTGGAATTTTCATTCAAGGGCTTAATTCGCATAGGGTGTTTGGATTTTCTCTGTGGGCTGGGTTTAAACATACCTCAAACAGGACCAATTGTCTTTTTAATAGTCCATTTCAGATCAAACATAACTTCTGCATTTTACTCATTTTTACACCTGAATCGTTCCTCTCAACTGAAAGCAATTTTCTAGGGTTTCCTATTTCCAGGAAGAGAGGTAGGAGAGGAATCTCATCCAGGTCTCGCGCTCGACCTCCACCTACAATTACAACTAATACGATTTAAATTCTTTAGTGGTCCAGTAAGGCTCTAAAAATACCTAAAATACCTAATTATAAATTAATACGTCAATGGACGTTTAGTTAAATTATAACTAATGAAATAGCAATTATAGTAATGGTCCATTGGGATTTTAAAAAATACATAATTACTATACGATTCCTCTGGAAATCAAAGTTACAAAGTAGCCATGCATTAATAAAGATTCGAGTAGTCATTTATATATAAAAACATACATGTTTTTCATAACATGGTGTGTAAAACGTTGTGAAGTGATTACAGACCATTAGCCCTCAAAGGAGTTGGTTGAGCAAGTTTAGTAGACTGGATAATACATCATGAAGTAGAGAAGGGATTAAGAAGGAGATACATATATTATATTGGTGCGTAAATGATGCAGACAGGCGAGGTATATATGTAAACAGACCAGGTTACTCCATGCTGGGATAGAGGTGAGGGAGCAGGCGTGGCAGAATCTGAACTTGCAAAGGAGTAGCCTTTTGCAGAGCAAGGGTATAGTGCTCCGTCATGTCGACATGGCCATCATCGCCTGGCACAGTGAGAAGAAAGCCTTGAAGCAGCGTGGCGAGAGTAAGGTGCATCACTTGGTTGGCCATCGGAACCCCTGGGCAAGCCCTTCTCCCTTTCCCAAAAGGTGCGTACTCAAAGTTTTTGTTCCCAATCAGGTATTCTGGTTTAAGCTGCAGCTTGTGTTGCTGGTCCTTTTGTGCAGCTCCGGCCGAGACAAGGAATCTCTCTGGCAAGAACTCCAGCTTCGGTGGCAATTCTCAATCCGATCCACCAATCCATTAAAACTATCCAACTGATTCAATCCATTTGATCCAAATGAAAAAGTACGATTCAGTATCTATGTTTTTATATTTTACATTTTGATATCTAAAACTTTTTTTTATACGAAGAATATCATTGGAAATTACGTTTTGGTACCTGAAATTTTTCATCATGACATTTTAGTACCTAAAAACTTTTCAAAATTTACACATTGATCCAAGATTGAGGATGTCATTTAGATTCATGGATAATCCACCAATCCATTTGATCCAATCTATGAATCCAATCTATTTGCCACCTCCATTTAGTAGTAGTATTTCAGATAACTAGAAAAAAGAGTTGTAATGTGTGTATGTATGTGTAATTTTTACCATAATGGTGCCATTGATGGCTTTCTCGCGGGGAATATGGCCAAACACCTCATCGTAGTAATCCCCTTTGATAGAGGATAACAGAACGTGGATGACATCCTGATGGCGATTATCAGCAGCAGCAGCAGAAACCGCCTCGTGTTGGGAACTTGGGATATCCAATTTGACAAGATGGGCTCGAAATCGGCAGCAACGCGTCGCATAGCCTTCACGCTCCCAGCCAACCCACGGGTCCAGCTCAGGAGTGGGATGACGTCCGAGATCACAGGCAAGCCGGCCAACTTCATGAACTCTTTGATCAGCCGTCCGATCCGTTTCGTCTCCGCCTCCTCATTGATGTCCTCCTGATCACTACTGTTGTCGTCGCCGAACACGTGCGATTTCTTGCCTGCCATTATTCTCGTTGTCACGTTCAGCGTCAGACTTTCAAACACGGCATTCATGGCCACAACCGTGCCTGCTTGGTCGTCGTCGTCGTTGCCTTTGCGGATGAGCGAACATAGGGAGCGAAACGACGACGACGAGGTCCCTCACCATTCTCGTGAACACCGACGAATCTACTGTAGCAGCAGCTGTGCAAGTAGGAAAGGAACGCTACCCAAAGTACTGCGCCTGCTGCGAGTGCTACATAATATGAAGACGATATTTCCATATCTACGTACTCACTTCTTCCTTGTTTCACCTTTTTTTTTTTTTTTCCTTCCTTCTGTCCTTATGTTGCTCTCAAGGGATGATCGATGATTTGCTGATAGATAGTACACGCGCGGTTTATATATATATATATACACACACGTACATGGAGTGTATGCATGCGTCCTTGCAAAATCGTAACATTTGGACTTTGAAGTGGTCGTGGTCATACTGCTCTATAATATTTGGTCGGTGATATTAGGATCTATCGACCAAGTCATTTCCTTGGCCTATACCTAATCATTATTAATAGAGTACTGACATGAAAATTTTAACTTTTGCAAGACTTTGATAAAAAAAAATTATAACTCTATCCATATAAATAACAATACTCATTGTATATCATAATACTACTCGTATGACCCATCCACTAATACAACCAAGATAAAAGATAAATATAGACGAGTAAAACGACTATATCAAAGTACTCATAGTAATCGTGGGGTTTATATATATATATGGAGTGCATGCATGCGTCCTTTGGCGAACGTTGGGTTTAGTGTCTTGTTCCCTATTCCAATCCTTGCAAAATCGTATCATTCGGACTTGCAAGTGGTCCTGCTCAGACTGCTATACAATATTTTTGATGAACTAGTCTGCTCTAAATTATTTGAGTTGTCTTTTGGTGGGTTTACAATTACATACCATAATAGCCGTATGCACGCATCTTTGCCCTCTTGCCTTTTTCTCTAGTGTTCGACATTCATGTCCTTGCAAAATCGTATAATTTGGGCATTGAAGTGGTCATGATCCTGAGTTTGCTCTATAACACGCCGGCCCATCCAAAATAATATGCCATCGGGCTAGATTTGAAATTCCCGAAGGAATTAGGGTTTCAAGGAAGAAAGAGAAGAGCTGTGGAGGAAGAAGATAAGATTGAGTAGGATTATTGGAAGAGGAGGTTCAATGTCAGCTCTGGACTCAGTGGTCCTTCATTTATATTCAACGGTTATCCGCTAACCTCTATACAAAACCACCAGTCACAAGGCGACAGGTGGCTAAGACCACTGATAAACAATAACGAATTGGTTTAATGAAAAACGACTGTGTATAAGAAAGTTGTACAAATATATACGCAAAAGAATTCCACAACTTCCAAACGATTCCACTTCAGTCCCTCTCGTTCTTCAGTGATCTTCATCTGCAAGTTCAGCAGTCCTTCAGTTGTAGCAGAGTATGGTCCTGCTTCTCCAATAACCAGTGCAGGACCAGGAGGTGTTCTTCACACACCCCCTCAAGCTGGCAAGTACACATTGTGTACTTCCAACTTGCTAAATAAGAATCTGAATCTCTCATATGCAAGACCTTTAGTGAACATGTCTGCCAATTGCACATCAGTTCTTACATGCTTCAATGCAATCAATCCATATTTCAATCTCTTCCTTGTGACATGACAATCCACATCAATATGTTTTCTTCGTTTATGGAAAACTGAATTTTCCGCAATATGAATAGCAGATTATTGGGGTCTGGATGACTACAAAAGAAGAACTCAAGCATTACCTTTCGCCATTGAACTTCACAGCACAATTGTGCCAAAGTTCTGTATTCTGCTCCAGAAGAAGACCTGGATACTTTCGTTTGCTTCTTGCTTTTCTAGGTAACCAAGGAAGATCCAAGGAAGGTGCAGTATCTAATGACTGATCTTCTTGTATCAGGGCAAGTATCCAGTGCCATTCTCAAAACTGAAAGTGAAGGACAGGAGAAGTGGATGAGAAGGAAGAGGAGTTACATTGAGCCACTAAATAAAGGAAAGAAACGACCAGATTGTGGAGAGAATGATCTCGATGTGCTAAATTCACACCAACATGTTGTTGATCTTCCCTAATGCAAGTACAGTAAGTTGCTTTGAACTCTCCAATCCCTAAGGCGGTACTTGGCACAATCCATGACGGTATGAGGCGACACAACTTGTTTAATTAAGGGGTTTTGGGTTTGGTCCACGAGATTGAACTCACTATGTAAGCTATGATGATCAATGTTAACAATCGATTTTGGCCACAAAAATTATTGTCAAACTAGTACCTCGTGTGGTGGTTGTCCAGTTCTCCTTATATAAGCTGCGAATTTTCTATTTCTTAATAGTGGTGCTCCTGTAAACCAATAACTAAAGCAACCACGCCACAATTTTCTTACCCAATGCAAAGAACTTCCCAAATTGTTAGGTTTTGAATCCATAAGATAGGTATAAAGCGAGGGGCCAAATTCTCATAAGACGTGCTCTATATCCGGCCTGTTTACCGTCAATGCTTGATTTGGCAATTATAGTTATCAATAAAATAAAAATATTAATTGTCTTTCTAATAAACATGTCATCCACATCAGCTATGTAACCCTCATCCGTGAGTTTTGCTCAATATCCCTTAATTCGGGGTTTATTTTTGAACAAGCGAGCTTGACACGACTGTCATTGCACGTTGACACGCCAAAACACAACACCAAACTGCGACCAAGTGTAATCGTAGTCCGGGAATGCAGTAACAGGCAAGTTCTATTATCAACTCGGGGTCTAGATCTACTGCTTACTCCGTGATTCTCTATTATCTAGCAAACTAATTCGAGTGATTGTTGATTAAAGCAAAACAGTAAGAAAGCAGTAAATTGTTCGGTTTTCAAAGTCAGGAAAGAGTCACTCGGGATTGAGTCCCCCTAGCCCCTTAGTTAGGTTCAATTGTAATTCCCCTGGGTTGATTCACTGTTGATTAGACTGCGGAAGTTCCGACAGTAGCTTGGAATCTCTTAAGCTGACCAAGCCCTCTTAGTCTAACTACCCGGCAGACGACTAGTCTTCACCGGGATAGAAAGCTGAGGCTATAAACACAGAACTCCACTACTGGAATTGAATTCCAGTACAAAGCAGTAAACTGGCTAACTCTCGTATAGCCAATCTCCTACTATCGAATGAAGAGGCTCTAACAACCTAATCAGATTCTATCTATCTCAGGTTGCAGCAGAAATTAAGAAAAGCTGATCAGACTCCAATCAATTCAATAAACATGCATCATTCGATTAAAATCAAACAGTAATATCATCCCAAGTCATTACAATCAAATCCCTAACACAAGGAACTAGGGTTCTTCATACCCAAGTGAGAGAAGGGTTCTACTCCATAGAGAGAGAAGAGAAAACAGTAATCGGATTAGTCATACTCATAATGATGAGGAATATCTGCTCCGGGATGATGATTTCCACTCCTATAACGATCTCCAAGCTCGATTCGACAAAACCCAGCTCCAAGATAGCTCTAGGATGTGTTCTTCGCACTTTCTCTCTCTAGGGCTCTGTTTTTGCTCTGAAAACTCGATTCTCCCACTTTTTGCTCGGAATAGGCTCTAAAACCATAATTTCCCGACTCGCACGGCCAGGCCACACGGCCATGTGGCTCACCACTTTGCCCGTGCGAGTCGAAACGCGGCGTATGGATTAGTCTACCTTCAGCCATCTCACACGGCCAGGGTTGCACCGCCGTGTGAGAATTCCAGTTTGCCCGTGCTCGGCCTCGGCAGAAATCACACGACTAGGGTGCTCAATGGCACGGCCGTGTGAAGGTTGTTTGTGCCCGTGTTTGCTCTCGCACAATCCCACACGGCCTGGCTTGGCCTTTGCACGGCCGTGTGATGCCACGGTCTGCCCGTGCAGCTTCCTTGACACCTCGCCACGCGTCCGATCTTCGTCCAATCGACCCCAGACTCGCTCCCAAGCCTCCATTCACGTACTAGGACCTGAAATATCACAAACAAACACAACCTAGCGTGAAATCGACCTAAAACACGAGAATCAACACCTCAAATGGTGTAAGAACGAGGGTAAAAACATGTGTAAATAACGGTCTATCAAACTCCCCCACACTTAACCGTTTGCTTGTCCCCAAGCAAACCAAGTCAGACACCAGGTAAGCTTACATATTTCAATCGACCAACATTGGGGACAAGTCATAAAGGCACAGAACACTTGAATCGTACTGGTTTTCAAACATCAACACATGAACAACCTCAATAACAACCTGGACAACCACCACAAAGGACATTCGAGTGCAGCAAAATCGAGTAAAGGAAGAGTCTCCCTTCTGTTTACCAGCCAACCTAGACTTGCCTCAACCACTTACTCAAAACAATCAACTCATGCATCCAACTCAAGACATCATAACAGAGACCAAGCAATCTAGGTCCTCACCGGGGTACAAGAGTATATAGAATATGAAAATGAATCACTCACTCTCGACCAGTGGGGTCAGGACAATTTGATGCGAAAAATGCGCATGCTATTTCTCTCAATCCCTATCATCTCTTCACCATGATGGCAGCCTCTAAATGCTAGAGTTCACATATGGGGTGTCGCCACTAACTAATCAGGAGGTCTTAGACACAGGTTCAAATGACTGGCTAGGGTCTTGGACATGGGGAAAAGGCCTTTTAAGTGGTGGAAGTATTCATAGCACAAGGTTCCACATTTCCAAACACACAATCACAGTCAAACAAACCGGTATTTTCTTTCTGCTATTATGCGTTACTCAATATCTCAAGAGCACAAGAGCGAAGGAGGTATAAACATCAGCATTTCCAAGCCAGGCTGCTAAGAAACACTACTAAATGGGCATTATTCATATTTTTGGTAGTGGCTCTCTTTTGCTTTCAATTTTTTCTTTGTTTTACTTTCATTTTTCTTTTCATTTCTTAAGAGAGCCACCACTTCTTTACAAATTTCAAACACCTGCCCAACTTTTAAGCACTACCTCCAACACTCACATAGACTT